CGGCCAGGGTGCCCGGATGGAGAAGCAGCGGGCAGCAGCCTTCCTTCTTCCCTAATTACGTTCCTCCCCTTTGTGTCTTCGAGCAGGAAGCCTCGTCAGGAAGCAGAGCCCTCCCTGCTCCCCTGCGAAGCCTGGAGCCGAGACTTGGAAGAGGGGAAGGGCGGGGGGGGAGCTGGGGAAGAGCGGGGGTCTCCCCCATCCCTGCTTCGCTTAACCCTTTCTTCCCCTCCCAGGATGAGACCTCGGTGAGCAGCGAGGAGTTTGACATGAGTGACTCCACATGGACGTCAGCTGATCAGCAGCTCCACACCAGCCTGAGCCCCAGCCAGGAGGAGGCGATGCGCAGCCCGCAGAACATCCACAGCCAGGAGGACGGTGAGTGACGAGCTCCGGGCGTGAGCGCCTTGAACCCGGGACAGGTGGCCCCGAAGTGGGGCTGGCGATGGCGGAGGCCGCCTCTTGAGCGACGCTGCCGCAGCAGATCAGAAGTGATCCTGCAGTAACAACCACTCTGTTAGCTTTTAAACCTCGATTTCTTCACGCAAAGAGGAGAACCGGCACTTACAGTGCAGTGAGGGAGAGGCAGACACCCCCCCGCCCGGTATCTGCTGATCTTTCTTCTGGTTAAAAACGGACTATGTGTACAGTGACCATGTTTTCTTGAAAAAAATAAAGGACAAACCTGAAAAGGGGCCAAATCCGAAAGAGGCTCATAAAGCTAAATTTTTTTTAATGGTTTATAACTTTGCTTTACAAAGGAAAATTCAAGAGCAAACCCAAGAGAAACTACAAAAACGCATATTCTAATAAAGGACCGCTTTCTGAAACGAAGGATGGTCCTTTATAATACAAGGACACGTGGTCACTGTAAAGTATACGTGCCGCTGAAGCCGGACGGGGTCACTTCAGGCTGCAAGCAGAGGGTGGGAAACTCCTCTGCGAGCAGAAAGCTAGCAGACAAGGAAAGAGGGTCTAGTTCAGCACGTTCCTTGGTATACTGGAGCTTCGCTGGCAGAGAATTTTCAGAAGCAGTTCCAAGGGGGCAATGCAATGTTACTAAAAGAAAGTGTGGTTTGCTTGTTTATGACTTCGTGTAACGGGTGAATCCAGAGATTGTGGCTGTCGTGTTCGTTTCTGGTGGTAAAAAACAGGAGGAGTCTGGCAATACCTTTCCTCCAGTTTTATTGAAAGGTAAAACTGTTGTCCGTTGGAAAGGGGCTGCCAGACTCAGTGAACTATGGGTTAGCTTAAGCATGATTTCCCCCACTGCAGCCTGAGGGGGTTCAATCCGCACCCCCAGGGTGCCATTTCCTTCTTCCGTTGGGTATAAAGGCCGGAGCCCGCTGGCCAAAGTTTCATTGGGTAACAGTACCAAATCTGAATCCAGATTTGATTAACTGGGTTGGGGACCACAGATGGATTATTTGCACGTGAACATATTTGCGTCCAGGGTCGACCTCTGCCTAATTGTCCAAGCTACAGGCTTCTTTCTCCTCGGTGCGGCCAGTTTTCTGAACAAATTCGGCTGCCCTTAAGGAGGTCAGATAATGCCTTCTCCTTCCCCAGAGGTGTGGGAACCTCCCAGGGCTTACCCAAATTCCGGGACTTATGGAGGACTCTGGTGGGGGTGGTCTGGCCCACACAAATATGGGTCATCCCTACTGTCAGAGGTCGAAGGCCGTTGGCTTGGGGGCCACCGACCACCGGTGATCCACCTCTGTTTCAAGGGTGAAACGTAGCAATACAACAGGCAAAAATGGGAGGGGAGCCCATGTGCAGCGTGCTAACATCACAATATATCTTTTGATATACGGTGGTCTATCTGAGCTCTTTTTTAAGGAAAAGGCAAGCACAGGGGGAGGGGCCCTGCTTTGTGAGAAGGGGTGAAAATGGCGTCCTGCAGATGCCATTGGCTGGTGGTGGCTCCCGGAGGGCCGGTCAGGGCTGCGGGTTTAGGGGGAGAGCGGGCAGAAGGCAGGGGCCAAGCCTTCGCACCCCCTTCCTGCCACCTTCCATCTCAGTGCAGACCAGGAGACCCCCACCCCCAGCTTTCCTAGGAAGAGGCAAAACCTCAGAACAAGATTTGGGTCGAATAATCGGGTGGCAAACGTTGCCTCCTCCCAATCTGTAGCTAATTGTTAAAAGCAAAGGAGGAGGCTGAGCCCGCCTGTCCCCTGCCGGCCGCCACAGCGTCCCCTCTTAGTTGCTGGTTCGGTTCCAGCGGCTGTCGCTGCTCGGTGTTCATGGGGACCTGAACGCAGTGGGTGGATTTCACAGCCACAGGCTCAGATTGTCCTTGGGACGCACGAGGCGAAGGCCCAGCTCTCTGGAGGAGTTCTGGGGCTGGGAAAGGGGGGAGGAAAGCGAGGAAGAGGAGGGCCAGCAGCCAGGGGGATGGGGCGACGGGGGCGCCGTTGGGAGAGCTGAAGGGCCAGGCTGGGGACAGAACATCCTGGAGGAAATCTGTGTGGTCGCTAAGGGTTGACAACGACTTGATGGCGAGTAATCAATCAGCAATTGTATATGGCGAGTAATCAATCAGCAATTGTATACCGTTACATTTCCCCCAAATTGGTGGGTGTTAGGGCCTCCTAAGCCCCACTGCTGAGTTGGAATTGATCGGCAACTCCTGTAGGCAAACTGGCGTCTTTCAGGACCAAGAGCCTGGACACACCAGCAAAGCCCTCCGCTGCTTCCTGGTCGTGTGGTCAGCTTCAGCCCGTCTTTGTGCAAGGGGGCACGGGAGGAAGCCCCCCCCATAGCTGCAACCAGGCCGTCTCCATTTTCTCTGCAAGCGCCTGAGGGAGGCGGCCAAGTCCAGCCCGGCTGTGCTGGAGCAGAAGCCCCCCACCCACACACCCCCCAGGCCATGCAGGCAGGGCTAACAGGCAGGCTGTGGGGCCCGTCGCCCCCGCCCAGGGCTGGACAGGGAAGGGCGGGAGCCGCTCGGGCCTTTCGCCCCGAGAGCGGCACTGGGGGGGGGCGCAGAGTAGCCAGCAGGGACAGAGGAGGGGTTGCGTGAGCTCTGCAAAACTGGAGAGCTTGTGAGAGTCGAGGGGGCAGTCGCCGAGTCGGGTCAGGGTTCATC